CCCCTCGCCCCTAGCGCTCCGCCCAGGCTCCGCCCCCGGCCGTCCCGCCTCCTCACCCCGCGCACGCGCGGTTTCCTAGGAACCCGGAAACGGAAAGCTTGGAACCAGGCTCGTGCTGCAGAGCGTAAGTTTCTCTTTTCTACCTTAAATCTGCACTTCGCAGACACTTTACTCCATCATCAGAGTCTTGGAGTTACTGCAGACTTTAAATTCCCACTCCCGCCCCTCCGCCTAAAGTTAATCCAGAAGACACTGTTCAGATCGGGGATCGTTCCTTCTGGAGCATTAAATTTCCCGGACATCGGTCCCGGAGCCCTTGGCTTTTCTCCCTTTGGTCTGCGAAGACACCGCCTTTCGCAGCTTTTTCTTTCTCGAAACCCCTTGCCACCTCCGCCCCGCCATGTAACGTCCCCTTCGGCGAGGTGGACTCGTGCCCCCAGCCTCGCCCTCTCGGCCCCTGGAGGGCGGCGCCGGTCGCCCCGCTCCCGTGAGGCCGCGTCCGCTCCCGGGTCCCGGGATTCTGGGGAGCCCGGCCCTCTCCTGAGACCCCATCCCTCCCAGCCCTTCTGTCCTCGCGTCCTCCTCAGGCCGGTCCTTCTGCTCCGCGGGCCTCCCCTTCGTAGTCAGCCCTTCCCCCACCCCGCGAAGGGGGAGGTGACCGGGGTCAGCCTCGTGACCCCGCAGTATTGTTATGTTCCAAATTCCATCCCGCTGGAAAACGGCCTATTCCTTTTGGAGGGCACCTTATTTTGTCTCCATCCCTGTAAATACGTGGGCGAGGTGGGTCGGGAGAAGCAGAGACAGAAAGCGACTGAGAGAAAAATAGAAACACTGAGAAGGAGGAAGGATGAGGGAGAACCAAAGGGAATGTAGAGGATGGCTGAGGATCTTGCAGAGACAGTGAAATGAGAGAGTGTAAGCCTTAAAGGTAGCAGGTAGGTAAAATAGAGAAGTGAATAAATAAAAAAAAAGCCGATCCCCAGGGATTGGAGAGAAACGGGGAGCGGGGCCCTGGATCAGCGGTGGGAGGCGGTGTAACAGTTGTGAAGTACTTCACACAGAGAGTGGGGGCGAGGAGGATTAAAGAGGTGGAACCGTGGCCTTGAGAGTATCATGGTGCTGGGAGAGAAGGAGAGGAAAGGAAGCATAGGCACCTGGGGTGCCAGAGGGTGGGGGGGAAGGGAGGGAAAGGGGGAGACAAAGGGTGTAACTCGGAGGGCAGGGGGCAGCAGTGATGGGGGAAGAAATGCATGGAGATTTAGGACAATCAGAAAAGTTGGGGAGAAAGAGCAACAAGAGGGGCACAGATTGCAGAGTGGGGCAGGACAGGAGTGAGGGAAGACATAGAGGGGAGGGCAGATACAGAAGGAGAGTGGAGGGGAACAAAAAGAAAGAGAAGTAGGGAAAAAGATAAACAGAATGAAATGGAAACACAACAGTGCAGGTAGAGGGGGAAACTGGATGCAGATGGGTGGTGAATTGTTTGGATGTAGATGATTATGTTGTGGTATATAATTTGTGCCTTTAGAATTTAATACACTTAAAGTTTATTAGCTTCATTAGGCTTTAATAGGGATGTGTGATCTGAAGAAAGTGTGAGAGGACCTAGAGATTGTCATACTAAGTGAAGTAAGTTAGACAGAAAAACAAATATGTATCACTTATATGTGGAATCTAAAAAAAGACATAAGTGAACTTATTTACAAAACAAACTCACAGATACAGGAAACAAACTTACAGTTACAGTGGGAAGGGGAAGGGGAGGGATAAATTAAGGAATTTGGGATTAACGTAACACACTACTATGTATAAAATAGATAAACAACAAGGACCTATTATATAACAGAGGGAATGATATTCAGTGTCTTGTAGTAAGCTATTTAGGAAGATAATCTGAAAAAGAATGTGTATATATAGTTTTATGTACATATATAAAATTGAATCACTTTGTTGTACATCTGAAACTAACAGAACATTGTAAATCAACTATACTTCAATTAAAAAAAAAACCTACACTCTGATACTCAAAGCTCTGTCATGCAATGAAGAAAAGAATAGAGTGTGGGAAAACTTAACTTGTTTGTCTCATTGTAGGGGTTTACTGTCCTGAATCCCTCCTGTGTACAGGAAAGGGGAATGTTGATCTAAGCACTAAACAGCATCTCTTCAACTTTCAAGACTGACTGTTAAAGACTCAGCCTGAGGAAGAAGCCTGGAAGAGGAGAGAGAAGGAGTGAGGAATGGCTCTGTCTCAGGTAAAGTCATACTCTCAGTTGATTCTCACTGTGTCCTTCCTGACATGTCCTTCTTTGGACTCACTAATCTTTGCTAACTTTGAAGTATCCTTCCTGACACCTGTACATTCACAGTCACCCAGGACACTCCCTCAGTGCCTGTCCTCCCCACTTAGATTCCATCCCCGGGACCCCGGGACTTGGAACTTGTGAAGAGTCTCCCTGGGCATTGTCCTGGGCAGGCTTCACACCCATGGATTGGAGATGCGGAGTCAGTGCTGTTGGACATCAGGGATTTAGTTTAGGGGCCCATCTGGGTGCACTGTCTGCTGAAAAGATCCTGCCCTTGGAAGTCAGGTAATAGTATGCACAAATCCCGGTAAATTTCAGAAACAGACCAATAACGGGAAACATATTCTGACTTTTTATCCTGCATTTGAAGTTAAATGTGTCACTGATTTCCAAATCTTAATGATTAGAAATGAAATGGAAAGTTCAGAAAGAGAAATCACTGATAGAGCGTTTTATTCCATCATTGCTTTCAAACTGTGAAATCAGCCTAAATCTCTGACACATGGAAATTCCTATACCATTTTCCTCACCTCCACTGCTTGGAGGTTACTTTTTCACTGTGTTGATTGCTCCCTTTGACACTGACAGTTTCTCAATTTGATGTAGGTAAGATTCCAGCTTTGTTCTATTGCTGGTTGATACCCAGTTTCCCAGCACCATTTGTCACTGAGATTCTTTTTTCTATTGTATGATCTCGGCACCATTGTCAATACATTTTACATATATGCAAAATTATTTCCGAGCATTCTAATCTGCTCCATTGCTTTATTTATTATTATTATTTTTTAATGGAGGTACTGGGGATTGAACCCAGGACCTCATGCATGCTAAGCACGTGCTCTATGACTGAGCTATACCCACTCCCTAAAACAAGTTGTACACTTTTTTTCTAGGGAGCTATTTCTTTTTTCAGGGTGGGGGAGGTAGTTAGGCTTATTTATTTATTTATTTCATGGAGATACTGGGGATTGAAACCAGGACCTCATGCATGTTAAGCATGTGCTCTACCACTGATCTGTACTCACCCCTCTGAGTGTTTCCTTCTGATCATAATGTTTGGTGAAATATTCTTGCTTAAATAACAATGTATTTTTTTCATATTCTTTTTTATCAGTATTTTTAATACTCCAATAAGTTTTTAACTTTTAATAGTATAGATTTTTTTCTTAATCTGTTAAACTCATGTGTAATATAATAACTTCTAATTTTGAAACCATGTTATATGAGTGGAATACACAAATAAACTGTTTTGCATTGTCAATACCTACGTATGTAAATTTTAGTGTTTAAATTGTATTTATATTTTTGAATCTAGGTATTCTATAGATATAGCAGTTAAAGTATTCTATTTGTCTTTTTATGTTTGTACCATTTTTCTTTTACAAGACTGCTATAGACTAGTGTTGACTAAATTAAGTGAAGTTAATAACTTTTCATTGTCTGAAAAGGCTGAAATACATGTGGATAAAAATGATAGTGAAAAATGTTATCCAAAAATATGTCCATAGACAACTCCCATCTTTTAAGTTAGTTGTGTATTGACATGGGTTTGCATGAGGGCATCGAAGTGTAAGCCCTTGGTTTTGTTAAAGACATAATAATTTCAAAACTATCTTTTTGCAGTTGAAATAGATCTTAAATATATTTCCTGACCCTGAATTTTTTCCGCACTATCGTGTGAATGATTTAAATATAATTACTAACATTTAAAAAATTTTAGAATTTATTTGTATTATTTTTAAAATTAATCTTTTTGTGAAGGGAGCTAATTAGGTTTGTTCATCTAATTATTTAATGGAGGTCCCAGGACCTCAGGCATGGTAGGCATGCACTCTACCATTGAGCTATACCCTTCCCTCTTGTCAGTATACTTTAAATACTCTATTACCAAACTGATTCTTCACTTATGATTCCAGAGCCCAACCCCGTGAGTTCTGGTGCTTGCTGTGTCTTTTAGTTTCTTGACCTAAGTGTCTCCGAGTGTGTCTGACATGGCTGTCTTCTCTGTAAGATGGGAATAGATCATTCTCTAATGAGCTATTATGTGGAAAACAAGTTCATACATGTAAAGAATTTATTTAGAATGACATTTAGCACTTGGAAGTGTTCCAACACTTTTAGTCTTTGCTCTTGTTACCATTAGCATAATTTAAGGTCCTAACCTTTCCGTGAAGCCACTGTAGACTTTGTCATGTCTGAAGACACCACTCAGCCTATAGTCGCTCTGGATATTGTATATTACTCAGTGTGTGGAATGTAGTATCTACCACTTCTGCATAGACAACCCGTGGTTGAATTTTATTTGTATGTTTTTCTTGTGTTGTCCACAAATATGAGAAGTCCACATTGATTGGAGGGTATTTTAATCTCTATGAAAAGGCATAAAAAGCCAAAATTATAGACACATAATTTGCTCCAAATACCTTTACATGAATCTGTCTGAACACATACCTCAGTTAAATTGATCCTTACCCCTCTCTCCTCTTCTCATTTTGTGTACAAATAAGAGCTCTACTCATGGCCCCGTGGTTAAATGTGTTTTCATTTCAGGCGCGGTTGACCTTCAAGGATGTGGCCATCGAGTTCTCTCAGGAGGAGTGGGAGTGCCTGGACCCTGCCCAGAGGGCCTTTTATGTGGATGTGATGTTGGAGACCTACAGGAACCTGGTCTCCCTGGGTGAGGAGAACTTCCTTCCAGGAGTTAGAATTTGTCCTTGGATATCTTTGCATTTTCCTCTGTATCCCTCTTGGGAGCCCCTGTTTTGCCTGACTGATCTGAAAGCCCTGCTGACTCAGATGTGAAAAGCTTCATCCTGTGGTATCACTAGTTTAAACTTACGTTTTCTTCAAATGTTCTCCCCTTTTCATGACATTCAGGGGTTCCAGAGCTCAAGTATTTGTAAGGCTCAATGGCGTACTTTCAAATTACCTAGTTCCCTATTTCCTGCCCCTGTGCTTTTGACTCACTACTTCTTGGAAGAGAGCTAGATGTTCTTCCCTCTGTGTTCAGAAGGAGGCAGGCAGTGGATGAGTTTGTGAAACATTTTCCAGGCCCACCTGTAATGTCCTCACTCCTCAGATGAACAAAGAGCTGGGATTCTGGAAAAGCCACAGCACTTTACATTTCTTCTGATAAGCAGGATTTTTTTGTTGTAAAGACAGGGAGGTAATTAGCTTTAATTAATTAATTTTTGTTTTTTCATGGAGGTCCTGTGGACTGAAGCCTGGACCTCACTCGTGCTGAGCACGTGCTCTACCACGGAGCTATGCCCTCCATCCTTAGAATTTCTTTTTTTGATCTGAATATTACTTGCATTTTGGAGCAAGAGGAAGAGCCCTAGATTGTGAAGAGCGATATGATGATAGTAGGAAACTGGGTGGGTGGGAATGTATGGAAAGTGTGAACACAGGTCAGGTCTCAGAAGGGCAGAGAGGAAGTGGCAGAGTTAGTAGTCTTTGGGAAAGTCTGCCCAAGTGAGAGGGTTCTTTGAGAAAACAGAAGTTTGTTTAGTGTGAACTCTCAGGGGAAATTTTTCTTCTCATTAACTCATCACTCTGTCCTTCATATGTAAAATGTATTCTTTCACCCTCCAGTGGTGCTGCGGCTCCACCAGAGACAAATAAACAGTCTTTGTCATGATCTACAACAGATCTGCCCTCTGCCTCCTGTGAGCTTGTTGCTCGACTTTGAGGAGCATGATGTGGGCTGTATTATCCGGGTCTCTTGCCCCCTCCTCTCTCTTTCTGGACTTGACTCCTTTGGGTGCTCAGTTCTCAGTCCCTGTAGATAAAAGTTGATGCCTCCAGACTCCAATCCCTGAGCCTTTCTTGGTTCTATCCCCATTGATGTTGTGCATTTAATCTGTTCTTACTTTGTGGTCTGTACTTCTGGTGTTAACGTCTGATAAACCATTGGTGAATGCAATGTCAGGAAACTTTGCCTGTATGTTTACTTCTAGGAGTTTGATGCTTTTAGGTCTTAGGATTACATCCTTAATCCATTTTGAGTTACTTTCATATGTAGTGTAAGATAATGTTCCAGCTAAATTCTTTTGTATGCCGTTATCCAGTTTTCTCAACAACTTCTGCTTAGTAGACTGCCCTTCCCCCACTGAGTGGTCCTGACAACCTAGTGGAATAGCATTACGCCATGTACACAAGAGTTTGTTTCTGACATCTCTGCTGTATTCCACTGGCCTCTCTGTCTTTATGCCAGTACCACACTGCTTTGATTAGTGTAGCTTTAGCATAAGCTTTGAAGTAAAGACATGTCAGACTTCCATCTTTTTTATTTTCTAGCTTGTTTTCTATTCAGGGTCTCTTGAGATCCCATTACAAATCATAGGATGGATTTTTTTTGTATATATACATTTATTTATTGAAGCATAGTCAGTTTACAATGTTGTGTCAATTTCTAGTGTACAGCACAATGCTTCAGTCATACGTGAATATTTGTTTTCCTATTCTTTTTGACCAGAAGTTAATACAAGATATTGAATATAGATCCCTGTGCTGTACAGTATAAACTTATTTATTGGATTTTGTGATAATCCTGCTGTATTTTGAATCAAAGACACTCTGCCAGAGTTCAGTAGGTGTTCTATGTGATTCAGTGGGTTTGTAGATGTAATTCTTGGCATATTTATGGGATAGGGCGAGCTATGAGTCTCTCTACCCCACCAGCTTGGCACCTCCTTTTTTCTTTTTTTTAGCAGAGGTACTGGGGATTGAACCTAGGACCTGGTGTATGCCAAGTGTGCACTCTACCACTGAGCTATTCCCATCTCCCCCAAGGATGGATTTATCTGTTTCTTAAAGACACACTATTGGAATTTTATTAGGGATTGGATTGAAACTGTTGATCATTCTAGGTAGTATTGACAGCTTGATAGTATTATCTTCCCTTCCAAGAACTTGGGATATATTTGCATTCATTTGTGTTGTTCGTAATATTTTTCAACAGCTATTTTAGTTTACAGTGTGCATGTATTTTCCTCTGTGTATAAGGCGATGCCTAAGTATTTCTTTCGTTTTTAATGCTTCTATAAGTGGAATTGTTTTCTCAATTTCTTTTCTAATTGTTCATTGTTAATCTATAGAAATGCAGTGATTTTTGCATGCTGATTTTATATCATTTCAAAATTCATTAATTATTTCTAACTGGTTTTATTGTGGAATCTTCAAGGTTTTCTACATATTAAATTATGTAGGTTGTAAACAGATAATTTTGATTTGTTTTTCTGTTTGGATACCTTTTATTTCTTTGTTCATTTTGTTTTTTTTGAAGGGGAGGCTATTAGGGTTATTTATTTATTAATTTTTTTTCAGTGGAGGTACTGGGGATTGAAACCAGGCCCTCGTGCATGCTAATAAGCACATGCTCTACCACTGAGCTCTCCACCTCTCAGCCCCCTAAAAGGTGCTGCCTTGGGAGCCTTTTTTCTTTTTTTTTAAAAAATCTTAATGGAGATAATGGGGATAAAACCCAGGACCTTGTGCATGCTAAGCATGTGCTCTGCCACTGAGCTATTACTCTTGAATGGTTTTTGATTAGACATTCAATCTCCTTACAGGTTACAGGTTTTTAAAATTGTTTTTAATTAAAAAAAATTTTTTTACTGAAGTGTAGTTGATTTACAATGTTATGTTAGTTTCAGGTGTATAGTGAAGTGATTCAATTATGTGTGTATGTGTGTGTATATATATATTTCTTTATCAGATTATTTTCCATTATAGGTTAATTCAAGATATTGAATATGGTTCCCTGTGCTATACAGTTGCTTATCTATTTTATATATAGTAGTGTGTGTCTGCTAATTCGAAACTCCTAATTTATTACCCACAACTTCCTCTTTGATAACTGTAAGATTGTTTTCTATGTCTGTGAGACTGTTTCTGCTTTGTAAATAAGTTCATTTTTATCATTCTTTTAGATTCCACATATCAATGATGTTATATATTTTTATTTCTCTGTCTGAATTACTTCACTTAGTATGATGATCTTGAAGTCTGTCCACATTGCTGCAAATGGCATTATTTCATTCTCTTGTGGCTGAGTAATAGTCCATTGTATGGATGTATGTGTGTGCACACACACACCACATAGTCTATATCCATTTGTCTGTGGATGGACATTTGCGCTATTTCCTGGATCATATGGTAACTATACTTTAACTTTTTAGGGAACCTCCATAATGTTTTCCATAGTGGCTACACCAATTTACATTCCCACCAGCAGTGTAGGAGGGTTCCCTTTCTTCCACACCCTCTCCAGAATTTATTATTTGTAGACTTTTTGATGATGGCTATTCTGACAGTTGTGAAGTGATACTTCACTGTAGTTTTGATTTGCATTTCTCTAATAATTAGTAATGTTGAACGTCTTTTCTTGTGCCTCTTGGCCATCTGTATAACTTCTTTGAAGAAATGTGTCTTTAGGTCTTCTGCCCATTTTTTTGATAGGGTTTGTTTTTTTGATACTGAACTGTATGAACTGTTTGTATATTTTGGAAATTGAGCCATTGTTGGTTGCATCATTTGCAACTGGGTTGTCTTTCCATTTTGTTTATGGTTTCATTTGCTGTTCAAAAGTTTTTAAGTTTGATTAGGTCTCATTTGGGTTTTTTTTCTTTTATTTCTTTTGCCTTGGGAGACTGACCTTAGAAAATATTGTTATAATTTATATAAGAGAATTTCTTGTTCTACTCTATGAGTTTTATGTTGTCATATCTTATATTTAAGTCTTTAAGCCATGTTGAGTTTATTTTTATGTAAGGTGTGAGGGACTGTTCTAATTTCATTGGTTTACATGCAGCTGTCCAGCTTTCCTGCCACCACTTGTTGAAGAGACTGTCTTTTCTCTACTGTATATTCTTGCCTCTTTTGTCGAAGAATAATTGACTGTAGCTGTGTGGGTTTATTTCTGGGCACTCTGTTCTGTTGATCCATGTATCTGGTTTTGTGCCAATATCATGCTGTTTTGATTACTATAGGTTTGTTGTATTATCTGAAGTCTGGGAGGGATATGCCCCCAGGTTTGTCCTTTTTCCTCAGTATTGCCTTGGTATTTCTGGATCTTTTGAGGTTTTAGATGAATTTTAGGATTATTTGTTCTAGTTTGTGAAAAATATCATGGGTAATTTAATAGGGATCATTTTAAATTTGTAGCTTGCTTTGGGTAGTATGGCCATTTTAGTCATATTAATTCTTCCAATACATGAGCATAGGATAACTTTCCATTTCTTTGAATTATCTTCAATTTTCTTTATCAGTGTTTTATAGTTTTCAGAGTGTAAGTCTTTCACTTCCTTGCTCAGGTTTCTTCCTAGGTTTTGTGTGTGTATGTGTGTGTGTGTGTGTGTGTGTGTGTGGCAGAATTTTAAAAGAGATTGTTTTTTTAAATTTCCTCTTTCTGATATTTTATTGTTAGTGTAAAGAAATGCAACCGATTGCTGTATATTAATCTTATGTCCTGCTATCTTGCTGAATTCATTTATCAGTTCTAAGAGTTTTTTAATGGAGTTTTTAGGGTTTTCTACGTAGACTGTCTTGCCATCTGCACATAATGACAATTTTACCATTTCCCTTCCAATTTGGATATGCTTTATTTCTTTTTCTTTGCTTATTGCTGTGGCTAGGATTCCAATACTATTGTGAATTGAAATGCTGAGAGTGGGCTTCTTGTCTTGTTCCAGGTTTCAGCTGGAAGCCTTTCAGCTTTTCATCGAGTGTTATTTTAGCTGTGGGCTTGCCCTAAATGGCTTTTAATATATTGAGATGTGTTACAGGTTTGCTCAGTTATTTTATTTTTTCATGACTCAGTGTTGGTGGGTTGTGTTTCTGTAGGAATGTATCTATTTCTTATAGGTTTTTCTGTATTTAGGCACATAGTTTCTCAGTCTTTTCTAATTTTTTGAATTTCAGTAGAAGTAGTTGTAATCTGTTGTAATGTCCCCTTTTTCATTCCTGATTCTAGTAATTTTGAGTCTTCTCTCTCTTTTTTTTTTTTTGTTGTTGTTGTTGTTAATGTAGATAAGAGCTTGTCAAAGAAGTAACTTGGAATCTTGTGACTTTCTGTAGTTTTTATTGTCTATTTCATTTGTTGCTAATGTAATTGTTTTTGCTATCTTCTGCTAGCTTAGGTTTATTTTGTTCTAAGATCTGCTTCCTTTTGTTCTTTTCCTTTTTGAAAATTGTTTTATAGACATGGTAAACCAGGACCTCTTTTTTTGTACTTATTTATATTTGCACTCTCCCTGATTTATTGACATTTAATTAATCTATATCATTGTGTAAGTTTAAAGTGTACAAGGTGATGATCTGATATATATTTGTATTGCAAAATGAGTATTTCAGTAGTTTCTTATCAGTTTTATTAATCACATAATTACAGTTCTTGTGTGTATGGTGAGAACATGTAAGTTTTACTGTCTTAATAACTTTAAAGTATGTAACACAATATGGATAATTGTAATTACCATGCTGTACATTAGATTCCTAGAACTTTTTCAACTTACAACTGGAAGTTTATTCCTTTGACTAATATCTCCCCATTCTCCCAACCCCTATGCCCTGGTAATCACTATTCCACTTTCTCTTTCTATTAGTTTTGCTCTTTTTTTGTTCACTTTTGAAATTATTTTTCGCATGTATATGAGGTCATGTAGTATTATTATTTTTCTCTGAATTATTTTACTGAGCATGTAACCTCAGTGTCCATTCATGTTGGTACAAATAGTAAGACTTACTTCTTTTTATGGCTGAATGATATTATATTGTATATATCTTTAAAAGACTTCTTTTGTCCATTCACGCCATAGACATTTAGGTTGTTTCCATGCCTTGGCTGTTGTGAGTACTGCTGTCATGAACATGGGAGTCCAGGTATCTCTTTAAGACAGTGAATTCAGTGTTCCATATCCGAAAGTGGAATTGCTTCATTGTGTGATTAGTTTTTTTTTTAAATTTTTTGGAAGCTTTATGCTTTTCTATTTCTTTTTATATGCACGTGTGTGTACAGACTAAACCCCTCAATCTTTTTTTGATGGTTTCTTACTGATTTTTTTATTCTCGTTTCTGCTAATAACATTCTTACCCAGTCTCCTGGAATGTCACGTATGTTCTTTTCAGTATATGCATGGAAATGGGATGTATTGAAAATTCAGTTTGATGCCTTAAATAGAAAGTTGTGTAATAGATGCAAACCTGCTTTATTTCTACACTATCCCATTTTCTCCATTTTAAAATCTCTTCCATTTCCCTGTCATACACATGATGTAATTCCCATAGTTAAAATGGGCCAGTGTCATGCTACTTGCTAAACCAGTTCTTTTCTCTCAAGATCAATATCTTAGCTGCGGGCGTGAATGATGCAGTTACAGTCACATAGATGCGCAGTCCCAGGCTGTGCTCCCACGTGTGCGTGTTCCCTGTGCTCCTCTCAGACCCTCTCTCCTTCCTGACCTTTCCTCACATGGTACCTGGATATGGATGGTTATTTGTTAGCACTTTTAATTTGTTCTCCTGAACTTCCCAGATTCCACAGCCCTCCCTCAGCCATCCCTCCACCTTCCACATGACTCACACTGTAAAATGACCCCTCTTCTTCCATTGAACACCTTTCTCAGGATGCTACCAAAATCACTATGTGCAGCTGTGATGACTCAGAGACCATTTCCAGGATGGACGGCTGAATAACATTACTAGTTTACAAAGCTCACTTCTTGCTTCTGCCTTGAAGTTTTCTTCCTAAACACCTTGAGTTTGTTGTAATATTTTATAATCTGTCCTGCCTGGGTGGGCAGTTATGCTTTAGAGTATGTGTCACAGTTTGTAGATTTAAGTTCAAATCCTGGTTCTCTCACTAGTTTCTGTGTCACTTGGAGTCATGGGCATGAACCTGTGAGTCTACGGCCCTGATTTGAAAAATCATAGTCATTTACCTCAAACCTTTTAAAACAAATTAGTGCTGTCACATGGGTTAGAATCTTGCCTGTTTTATAGTAAAGATTGGAAAGTTACTTTCTATAAGTAGTTGTACTGATATCTATCATGTTTATTCTGATATCACTTTGCATACATCATATCTTGTATGCTTTTCATTTGCAATTTGTTCTAAACAACATTGTGTCTGACCCTAGGTGATAAATTTACACATTCCTCACTCTTTATTACATATATTGTGGAGTCAATGAACTAGAGAGTTTAAGTGCTCTGTGTAGGAAGGGAATTGCTCTATTTATTGGCTGTTAGATAACTGGAGAGTATTTCATTTATTAATATTTGATTGTGATTTATATATGATGGTTTTTCAGCGTTTATTATAGAATACAACTGACATGCACCATGTGTTAACACTGTAAAATGCATATTCTTCGTGGGTACGTAGGTTTGTGTTTGTTTTTTTTGCTTGTTTTTTAATTGAAGTAGTCAGTTTACAATGTTGTGTCAGTTTCTGGTGTAAATAGCAGATATTTAGAATAAACATTTTTTTGACTGCGTTACCAAGTTCTTCATTTTCTCTGTTCTATTTCTTTTGCAATTCTACATTGCCAGTTATTTAAATTATTCATTAGATAAGCTTCTTTCAGATTATGTTCCATATTAATATGTTGTGTGTTTTTAGCATTTATTTATGTGCAGTAGAGTGCAGATGTATGTATAGGGTAATATTTTTAGTCTCCTTAATTATGAGACAACAGTATCTTTACTGTTAATCGGTATGTGTTTTGGGGTCATGGTGGAAAAATACTCTTTCTCTGAGAGCTTAAAAGCTTGTCTAAGGGGGAAGGGTGTAGCACAAGTGGTAGAGCACATGCTTAACATACACAAAGTCCTGGGTTCAATCCTCAGTACCCTCTCTAAAAATAAATAAATAAATAAGAAACCTAATTACCTCCCCCCTAAAAAAATGAAAAAAAAAAGTTTGTCTAATGTGAAAGTTATTGTCGCAGGGTGTTTGAACTAGGCTTCCCTAATGTTAATTTGAATGACACATAATTGCTCTTCCTTTAGTAAAGAATCCTATTCCTTTAGTGTTCCTAAAAAATTTAAGGTCCTGATTGGGAAATTTCATAACCTTGTTGGGAATAAATATTACTATTGGTTTAATAACGTATATTCAACGTCAAACTTTTATTCATGAATTGTAATGATTAGGACACCTATGGTTTTTTTGTATCTTTTAGATGTCTCTCATATACATGTGATCAAGAAATTACAGCCAACGACAAATAGTGATAGCGGAGAAGTATTCCAAGCAGTGATGTTGGAAAGACAAGAAAGCCCTGAAGTGAAACATTTTTACGTCAGGGAAATCCAGGAAAATACATATGACTTTGGGTGTCAGTGGAGAGATGATGAAAGAAATTATAAAGGAATGCCTGTAACCCAGAAGGAAGATGCCCCTGACAGAAGTGACCAGCAAGGTAGGTGGAATGCAGGAAACAAGCCTATTGAAAATAGGCTTGCATTCAGCTTTCTGGACGAACTGCATATATTTGAGAAAGATATTTACCAATGTAATGAGTGTGGCAAAACCTTTAATCATGACTTGTCCATGAGTAGACACCAGATAATCCATACAGGAGAGAAGTTATATAAATATGGTGTATGTGGAAATGCTTTTAGTCAAAAGTCAAACCTTGCAAGTCACTGGACGGTTCATACTCATGACAATACTTACAAATGTAACGAGTGTGGCAAAACCTTTCATCATGGCTCATCCCTCAGTAGACATCAGGTCATCCACACAGGAGAGAAATTGTATAAATGTGATGTATGTGGCAAAGTCTGTAGTCAGAATTCCTCCCTCAAACGTCATCAGAGAATTCATACAGGAGAAAGGCCTTATCAGTGTAATCAGTGTGGCAAAACCTTTAATCGTGGCTCTCACCTCTCTGAACATCGGATAATCCATACAGGAGTGAAATTATGTAAATGTGATGTATGTGGCAAAGTCTTTAGTCAAAATTCATGTCTTAGAATTCATCAGAGAATTCATAATGGGGAGAAACCTTACAAATGTAATGAGTGTGGCAAGGTCTTTCGTCAAAATTCACATCTTGCAAGACATCAGAGAACTCATACTGGGGAGAAACCGTACAAGTGTAATGAGTGTGGCAAGTTCTTTAGTCAGAATTCAAATCTTGTAAGTCATCAGAGAATTCATACTGGAGAGAAACCTTACAAATGTAATGAGTGTGGCAAGTTCTTCAATCAGAATTCAAATCTTGTAAGTCATCAGAGAATTCATACTGGAGAGAAACCTTATAAATGTAATGAGTGTGGCAAGTTCTTTAATCAGAGGGCAGATCTTACAAAGCATCAGAGAGTCCATACTGAAGAGAATTATTTCAAATGTAACGAGTGTGGTAAGATCTTCTGTCGAACTTCAAATCTTGTAAGTCATCAGAGAATTCATACTGGAGAGAAACCTTTCAAATGTAATGAGTGTGGCAGATTCTTTAGTCAAAGGGCAAACCTTGGAAGGCATCAGAGAGTTCATACTAGAGAGAAACCTTACAAGCATAGTGAGTGTGGCAAGGACTTCAATCAAAATTCACTTTTTCCAGTTTCATCAGAGAGTATATATTGTAGAGAAGCCATTCAAGCATAATGAAATTGATTTACCTTTCATCAGATATCTACCCTCACTAAACATCAGATAACTTATACATGAGAGAAACCATACAAATGTGACATATGTGAGAAGGCATTCATTCAAAATTTACACCTTATAATTCATCAGAGAATTCATAGTGTGGAGAAGCTGAGCAAGTGTCATGAGCATGGCAAAGCTTTTGTGCACGCAAGCATCCATTACTGTGAAATAATGAATACTGGAGAGAAACCTTTAGAGATGTAATTAGTACCTCAGAGTCTTTAGTCAAAATTCATACCACAAGATCCATGGAAGAATTCATACTGGAGAGAAAACTTTCAAATGTAATGTGTGGCAAATCCTTCAGTGTTCTGTCAAACCTAACTTACTATCAGGTAATCCAATCCATACTGGTGGGAGACGTTAATAATGTAATGAAGTTACAAGGCTTTTGTCAGGTGTTCACATCTTAGGTTTCACTGAAAAATTCATTCTGGATAGAAACTAGGTAAATGTGATTGTTGTGGCCAGACCTTTAGGGGAGGAACTCATTCATTAAAGAACTCAGTCTGGTGGGGTGGGTATAGCTCAGTGGTAGAGTGCATGTTTAGCATGCAGAAGGTCCTGGGTTCAGTCCCCAGTACCTCCATTTAAAAAAATTAGATAAATTAAAAAAAAATACAGTGTGTCTGGAGAGTACCTCACCAATGCCGTAAGTTTGAAACAATAATCTTAATTCTCAGGTAGGACAGTTGTTGTTTGTGAGTGACAGGTTGCCTGAAAGAAGTGGTAGGTTTATCATCCTCACCCGACAGGAAGTCCAGAGGGTGCGGTGTGGGGTGTGGTGGGTCCTCTGCCCCACTTAGTCCTCACATTCCTTGTAGCAACATGCCTGCTGTGTGGCCAAGAAAAGTGAAGGTTGAGGGGGCAAAACCCTTTACATTTTAAGAATTTTGGAGTGGGGGATATAGCTCAAATGGTAGAGCACATGCTTAGCATACATGAGGTCCTGGGTTCAGTCCCCAGTACCTCCTCCAAATGTAAATAAATAAATAAATAAACCTAATTACCCCCCTCATAAAAACAAACAAACAAAGGAATTTTGTCATGTTTTCATGGAAACAATCATCCCAGATATTTTGTCTCTTATGGGTCATGCTCTTCTGACATGTCTAAGAATTCTGCACCAAGTTTTGAATTTTGATTTTATTCTACAGCAATTTTTAAAAACTGAATCTCATACTTTAAAATTTTATAATGTTTTTAAAAAGCTTTGATTAACTTTGAGCTAATGCTTGTACAGATGTGATGTTTAGGGGAAGTGGAGATCTTCCCCCCTCCCCACTATGAATATTTCACTGATTAGCACCAGGTTTTGAAAATCTTTCCTTCCTTGAATTACCTTGGTACCTTCATCAAAGATCAGTTAGAAGTGCAGTTGATCCTTGAATGGTGCAGGGAGTTCATAGTGTCTGCTCCTGAGCAGCTGTAAATCCACATATAACTTTAAGTTGGCCCTCCATATGCACAGTTCTGCATTGGTGGTTTCGACCAACCTCAGATCATGCAGTACTGTCGTGGTATTAATCAGAAAAAGTGCACATATAAGTGCATAGCTCCTGTGTGGGCTATTTCTGGTTTCCTCATTCTGTTCCCTTGGTCTGTGTGTGTCTCACTCGGCAGATCCCACACGGTCTTGGTTACTGTTACTGTATTATAGATCTTCAGGTCATGTGGAGTGATTCCAACCACTTGAGTATTTTTCAAATATTTTAGCTCTTCTAGTTCTTTTTTTTTTACATTTTGTAAATTGACCTTTTAGTTCTTTTACCTTTCCCTGTTAATTTTAGAATAATCTTGGTTGTGTCTACAAGTCTTCATTGGAGATACATGAAACATCTATGCCGATTTGGGGAATTTTAATATAATTTTTATGTTATGTTTTCCAATCAATGACTATGGTATGTTTTTCTAACAGTTCACTAGATGTGGTATGTTCATGTAAAATGACCTAAATAAAAGGTCATCTTTGATTTCTTTCCTTACCATTCATTGTAGGTTTCAGCATAAAAGTCCTTGTTTTGCTGGATGTACACATTTTTCTTCTACTTTGACGTTTTTGAGCATTCACACGTAGCATTATCTATTTAATTTCAATTTCCATTTGTAAACTGCATGTGCATAAAATGACAATAGATTTTTGCACGTTGTATCCTGGCACCTTGCAAATTGTGCTTTTTCCAGAATTCATATAGATTCTTTTGATTTTCTACACACACCCTTTCGTTAAATTTCCTATTAATTTCTCTAACAAATTACCACAAACGGAGAGCCTTGAAGCAGCACAAATTTATTCTCTTCTGGTTCTTGAGGCCAGATGTGTAAAATAGCCCAAAGAACTGTGCTCCATCTGGATGCTCCAGGTCAGAATTCATTTTCTTGCCTTTCCTGGGTTCCAGAGGCCACTTACATCCTTGCCTCATGGTCCCCTGGTGTATTTCCATGACACACTCATTCAGTTAATTAATAAAATTCTTCACTGTCTTCTGATCATGTGGACGTTTCCTAAAGACATTGTTTAAATTAGGACACTGTCACTCTGTCATTATAGATAGACACCTTCATCATACTTAACACCGTCATATCTTGCTTCGCTATTGCTGATGTTCCCTTATAGAATATAAACCACTTGAAGGCAAGGTATTGATTTTGTTTCCTGCCAGATATTCAGTGATTGATTGGAACTATCCCCAACTGACAGATGAGTGAATGCACTTTCTCAGTGTAGGAAGGTTGCTGTTCTGCATAGGCTCATAGATCAGTAAGTCAAATGGACAAATAAACATGTCATTATATTTGTTCAACCAAATTCCTTACTCTGTTAAATTACAGCCTAATGCTCTGAACATAAATTCTCACAGTATAATTTTTCACACATTATGAATTTTCTGCAACATGTGCTTAACAGATCTAACTCTTTATTGAAGGCATGTCTTCATGAAGTTTTTTTAAGCCACACTTAATTCATTTATTATTTGTTTTTTAATTGAAGTATACTTGATTTACAATGTTGTATTAGTTTCAAGTGCACAGCAAAGTGAATCAGCGTTATGTATACATGTATGTGTATGCATATATATAGATATATATTCTTTTTCAGATTCTTTTCCATTATATGTTAACTCAAGATGTTGGATATATTTCCCTATGTTTTACAGTAGGTCCTTGTTGGTTATCTATTTTATATAGAGAAGTAAGCTGTAATATTTTATTTTTTTCTCATTACTTTTTTTTTCTCTTTTAAAAAAATTTTTTTGGAGGGGGTGGTAATTAGGTTTATTTATTTATTTTTTTTAATGGAGGTACTGGGGCTTGAACCCAGGACCTCATGCATGCTTAGCATGCACTATATCATGTGAGCTATACCCTCCTGCCTAAGCCACAATATTTTAAACTCAAGACTCTCCAAAATGCTCCATTCTACACCCATCACAAGAGTAATCCTATTTTTCATATAGGATAGTTTTTATTGGTGAGTGACAGACTGCATGGAAAACAGGAACTGCAAGAAATAGGAGGTTTATCAGTCTCACCTGACAGGAAGTGCAGAGGGTGCCGTGTGGTTTGTGAGGGGTCTGCGGCCCCTTCTACCTCCATCAGCACTTAATCTTCACTTTCCTTATAGCCACATGGCTCCTGTAGGACTAAGAAGAGTGAAGGGTTGTGGGGAGCGTGGGGGCAAAATGCTTTTCATCATCAGATTTTGTCTTCTTTACCTGGAAACAATAATCCCAGTTATTATTTCCAAATACTAGCCATTTGAAT